GAGCCGGGGCTTCTTGCCAAAGGCTTCCTTGCTGCCGCCCTGGGACCTTTCTCGCTGGAGACGCCCAGGACTCGAACACGGACCCTTCCGTCTTGCAAAAAGCAAAACACGACCTCTGTTTACAGCTGAGAAGCCAGTCCTTTGCAAAGAGGAGTCACAGCCTCCTCCTCCTTCGTCGGGTCTTCTTCCTTCTCCTGCCCCCCCCACCCACTTTTCCCCCCAGGACAACTCCAGAGCCCATTCCTCACCCCATGGGATTTGTACGGATGCCAAACGAAAACCTGTTTTTTTTTTCTCTCGTAATGATCAGATCAACAACCGACTTCCTCTAAAATCATTCTGGATGGATTCCAATCCCTCTGGACTGCCTTTAAAAGTCTATTAGGGGAGGAAAAATCCTGAGAGAGGCATTTTCCTGTCTCTGGCCACTCTCGCTGATTAATTGGGCTTCTGGCTAATTTAAAATCCTTGACGGGCGAGGTGGGCGGGCGTTCACCTTTCCTGCATTTGAAGCTAATTGGGGTTGATACTGCCAAGGCTGTAGGGGCTGTTCCTGGCGGTGACTCACCTGTGACTTAGGTGGCAAAAACAACAACAACACCACAACTAGGGCAGTGACTCAAAAGAAAAGTCTGTTATTACACCCTTGAGCTGGGAGGGGATCAACCCATATTGCCCGGGGGGGGGCAGGGAGCACCTTGGGAGGAATCCAGGTGTCAACAGACCTTAAAACCACCTTAATAGGATTTGAAGTCCCCGTAAGTCAAGGAGGATCAAGAAGAAGGGTTGAGACTCCGCTTAATTGTCCATTTTGCTGATGGGCTGACAAGGGATTTATTTGGCTGGAGGCTCTCCTGACCGCTGTCCTCTTTGCTCCCAAGATGATGCCAAATTCAGAAAATGTGCTTTCAGTTCCTACACCTAATCCTTTGGCCCTCAGGATCTTTTCCCCAGGTTGTCTGATCAGGCGCCTTGGTTTTCATAAGACCCTCCTGGAAAAAGTTCATACAGGAGGACCTCGGGATCCGCAGGGGATCCGGTTCCAAGCCACGGATGATGAGAAACGTGGCTGTATCGAACACTATACAGTGCATGGTCTCTGTTTCTCTCTCTCTAGTAAGAAAGTCATAATAAATAGGTATTTTCTGGGGAGGGGGGTTATTTAGTATTTTCAGCCAGCAGTGGAGACTGAGGGGCCGCGGATAGGGGAGTCCTGCTGTAGTTGCTGGGGGAATCGTTATTTAGTATTTTCAGCCAGCGGATAAGGGAATCAATCAGTGGAGACTGAGGGAGTCCTGCTGTAGTTGCTGGAGGAATTCCTTTTTTCTCCTTGGTCCAGGTATACCGACTCTGCACCCCGCATGGCCTGCGATGTGTCCCTCACGTCTTGCTCTGTATCTAGGAGAAAAGGCTCTTATCTCCGCTCGCCCGCAGCGGCCGCTCTTGTCTCGGACCAGCTGGCGAGGCAGATAATCGCTTTTCCCTGCTCGGGCACTCGAGAGGAGCTTTCTTGCTTCATCCCCCAATGAGCTGCAAGAGAGAGAGAGCGAGGCTTAGAAGAACGTGTGTGTGTGCATGCGTGTGTGCATCGGGGGAAGAGATGTGTCCCCAAAAGAACAATGAAATGTCAACATTTCAGCCTATCCATGTTGTAGACGTTTCCCAGCGTTGTGGCCGTAGGTCTGGCGTTCCTTAGGCCTTCTCTTAAACCTCGTTCTGCCCTAATAATGCTCCATGCCTTGCTGTTGAATCCCAGGGGAAAACCGCTCGATCCTGTCTTTGAATACACGCCGACCCCCCCAGCTTATTTAACTTCCTCCCTTCTTTTACAAAGTCCGGGGCCACCATGCCCTGCTATGGCTTCTGGCAAAACCAGTTGGGTTCCCCGTGGGCAGCACCATGATGCCCAGCTTCACACTTGTGTCTGCTGGCCCTGTCTTGCGTGTCTGAGATCTCTCTCTCTCTCTCTCTTTAGGTGGTGAACGGACTCAAATACTACCTGGACGTCACTCTGCTGAAGGGTCAGCGCAGCGAGAGCCAGGCTGCGGGCCAGGACACTGCCCGTCACAACTCTCAAGGAGAGCCGGAGCAAATGGTCAGCCGTTGTGTTCTGCTTGTGCTTTTGATTTTGGGGTCCAGAGGGAAGGGGTGCGGAAGGTGGCGAACTCTTGACGGTGGCCTAGGGAGGGCAAAACCTGACCTTGCCACCCTTGGGGGCTTCCCACCAGCAACCGAAGGGGATTCCATTTAAACCAGAACTTGGAAGATTGATTTTTTTAAAAAGGGACCAGTGGACTGATGGTGTAGGTGACCCTCTTTTTTGGGGGGGGAAGCTGCACTTAAAAATGGATTCCCAGTGTGGTGTAGTGGGTAGCGTGACTGATGGGACTCAGGAGGCCTGGGTTCGAATCCCCGCTGAGCCATGGACACCCACTGGGGTGTGGAATGGGGGGAAAAAGTCACTCCTTAAAAATCTCACTTGCCTTGAAATCCTGCTTAGGGTTGCTAGAAGTCAGTTCCCACTCGAGGGCCCAGAACGTGCACACACTTAAAAATAGAAAAATGGCTAAAGTCTTTTAACAACACCACCACCACCCCCCCAGGAGTATCATTTTAAGTGCAATGAGTAAACATTGCTGATTTGTCTTAGGAAGATTTGCTGTTGGTTACATTTTGAAAAGGGAGCAGCATGGTCGCCTAAATGTAATGCAACGTATGTTACCTGTAATGGATTGCTTCTAAACTCCGGGTCTAATCCAGCGTGGCGCTCTTGATGTTCCTGTAGCTTGCCTGGGGCCTCGAATCTGACAATTTCGTTCCCCAGGGGTTCCAGTTTTGCTTTGCCTCGCTGATGTCTCGGTGAGCGCGATTAAAGCTGCAGAAGCAGGTTTCCCAACCTATTTACAAAACATTTTATTTCCAGACGCTGTTTCAGGGCCTGAAGCCCCTTACAAAGCCGTTCACTTAACCCCTGCTTGCATGCCCTTGGGTACCGACTCCCATCCTCCCCAGCCAGTTCAGGCCAGCCGCCGTGGAGGATGGGAATGGCCCAGCGGGGTCACACTTTCCCCACTCCCTGGTTTCAGTGTGCAGGAGAAGGACCCGAAGGTGACCCATCACCCAAAGTGACCCCCGGGGCCTGTTGCAGAAAGTGCTTCGGCCCCTCCCCGAAGGCTCCGCGCTTCCTGTCCCTGCAGGAAACAGAGATGCTGACGCCTGCAGATGGAGAGTCAGCAAGGCCATCATTTCCACTGACTGTCTGCCCTGCCATGTATGGGGATGCAGGATGGGGCCAGCTCATCTCCCCCCCCGCCGCCCCCCCACCGCATAGGCTGCCTCGTGACTGACTTCAGCTGACTCGCTTGGCATGAGCTTCCCTCAAAACAAGGGCAACTCAGTGGAGGGTGCTGTCAGCTGACAGATCATCGCCTGCCTGTGGTTTGGGAGGGAAGCGTTCTGTGATCTGCTTATTTAATGGGTTTATTTGTTTATTTAATTAACGAATTAAAATTATTTTAACCCCACCTTTCTCCTTAAGAAAGTTCTAAGGTGGCTTATGTTGTTACAATACCTTATTTAAAGCTAAAAAAAACCAGTGAGTGTACAAATACTAAAAAAAAAGCAAACCAATACAATACTTTACAGTAAGTATACAAATACTAAAAAAAGAGCAACCCAATACAATACTAAAAAAACAGTAAACAAAAGCAACATCAAAACACATTCAAAGCAGTAAAAGGCACAACAATCTGGCAACTCAGGGGACGCCTGCTGGAAGAGAAAGGTCTCTTGGCCTGCTTGTGGAAGGATGGCCAAGATGGGGCCAGCCTGGCATCCAGTGGCCGGGAGTTCCAAGGTCTCTGGGAGCAGTCACCGAGAGGGCTTTCTCTCGTGTTCCCAGCCAGACGCTCTTTGTAAAGCTGGTGGGGCCACGAGGAAGGCCTCCCCTGGGGATCCTGGCCCCTGAGCGAGCTCCTAGTGGCCGCTCCTCACTTCTTTGCCAGCCTCCCTCTGGCATCCTGGGCCTCCTATTCACCCCTCCCCGGTCTTTCCTCTTTGCTCCTAGTCCTGCCACTTTGAAGTCTGGATTCAGCCCTGGGCCGGCGAGAAGAAACTGGTTCAGCACGAGTGTCGTCCCGCTGGTAGGTCCGGTCCAGTTGGTCTGAATGATTCATAAATAAAAATGTAAAATGCGGGGCCCAAATCACGCTCTTCTCATCCTGCCAGGATAAACAGAAGTCACCTCAGCGAACCCAACCCTTCCTAATCCTGGGAGAGGTTCTCTGTGTTGTTCTGTTTTGAGGGAAAACAAACAGAGGCCGCGGAAGAACTCACAACGGGTTGACGGTGCCCCACCGTTCAGTTCAGTTGTTTTCCTCGGTGTTGTTTTGCAAGCACCGGCGGAAGGCCAAGCGGGCGAGGGAGGAAAGTCGCTCTGCCTTGGGCTGACGGCCTTCATCGGGCTGCGGACTTCCAGGGGGCACACAAAAAAACTTGCCTTCCAGTCAGTTAGCGACTGCACTCAGCAGGAAACTTGGTTTGGAACTGAACTCCCTCCCTTTTCTTCATCCACACAGATCCGTTCGAGATCATCCAGGCAGCAAAACGGGGCGGGTGGGCCGTGTTTCACCCCCAGGCTTCGGGTCCAGAAGCTGCCGACCTGCTCCAGGGCGAGAGGTCTCTGCAGGTGGGTGTCTATCCCTTTTTTCCTTCTCTCTGAAGTTGGCCTTCGTGAGATCCCTTAGGAGAAGAACTTGGAGGTCTTGGGTTCCCAGGAATTGATTTGCCCCTCCCCTCTGCACCCAGAACTTGTGGGTATTTGGTGTCTAAGAGGTGGAGACTCTCGCCTGCATCGAGGCTGGGAGGTTTCCTGCGGGAGGAGAGGGAGCGAGGGAGCTGATCTCAGGGGAGCAGAGGGAGAACCTGCTTGCCTTCCAGGCCTGCTCCTCTTTCAGCCGGGGGTTCAGAGGAGGGAGATTTGCACGTACAGCTTGCTTCTGCATGCTTAGTACTTAACTCACCACATTCCCGAGGAGTGTGGCATTTGGCCCTCGGGCATTACGTACTGCTCCCGTTCTTCCTGACCATTTCTGGGGGTGGGGTGGGGATCACACACAGCCGTCAGAGGGCAGCTCCATTTATTCAACTCTTGGCTGTTCCCGCAGCTCCTGTTTGCTGACTTCTCAGTTCTGGACTCTTTTTTTCTCTCTCCCCCCTTCCTCAGAATGCCTCCATTCACCTGGTCTCCCTCTTCAAGGACTTTGTGATCACCTATAAGAAGAGCTACCAGGACAAAAAAGGTGAATGTCCCCAGAGGTGCGGGAAGGGTCCCGGTGGACGTCGGATTCGGCAGGAAAAGTGAAAAGCGCTCTCCCCCCCCCACGGACCCTTCCCAGAACTGGCCCTGCTTCTCTTTGGAGATTGTATTCTGGTCACTGCTGGTCGGGTGGCCAACTAGCCTGGAGCCTCCTGATCCAGGCGACCCCACAGGACCCCCACCAGCAGAGCTTGATTGCAAGGCCCTGGGAAATAAGCTACGAAAACGGGAGCCCCCTGCTAGGGGAGAGGTTGTGGGCTAACATAAAGCGCGTTTATCACCCGCTACTGTTCCTCTGGGTCCCTTCCCTCCAGAGACCGAGCGGCGCTTCCGGATCTTTGCTGAGAATCTTGAGAAGGCCCAGGTCATTCAGGAGCTGGATCAGGGCACGGCGGAATATGGAGTCACCAAATTCAGCGACCTGACAGGTACACTGCCTGAGAAAAGGGGAAGGATCCGGCTGGTGGCTTCTGAGGTAGATAGGTGGGAGCAGGGCCGCCCAGAGCCCAGGAATGGGTCTCTGCACTGCCTGGATCTTTGGAGGTGGGAAAAACCCACTGGGATGGCCACGCTGGTTGGTCTCGGGGTTGCCCTGCGCTGCTCGTTTGTTGAGCGTCGTCTTGACCCCAGCCCTGGAGAACGGACTCCAGGAGGAGAAGCCCCCTCCTGCCTCTTTGTGTAGCCGCCCAGACCTCCGTGAAATTGTCCGCACACCTTCTTAAGTGGTCCTTGTTTGTAGAGGTAAAACGGATCGCTTGTCTCGGGCTCTCGTCTTTCTTGCCGAAGTTCGCACGCGCCTTCTGTTTGTCTCTTCCAGAGGAGGAGTTCCGCTCCACGCACCTCAACCCGCTGCTGGCCGAGCTGCCTGGCCGGCCCTTGAAAGCAGCCGCCATCCCCACCGACCCTCCCCCAGACCAGTGGGATTGGCGGGACTATGGGGCTGTCACGGGGGTCAAGAACCAGGTGGGTCTCCCTCGGCTCGCTCTGGGGGGGCTTTGAGGGTCCAGGGGGAGAAACACCCACAGCTCTCAGCAAGCCCCTCTTTCTGTACCCTTGCTGCCTGGGCCCTCCTGTGAAGAGGAGGTGGAGAGTGGTCTCTGGTGCCGGCTGGCTCAGACCTGGGGTGGCGAAGGAGTCCTGGTGGAAGGAGGGACCCCAGTCCTTCTCTGTCTCCTCTCCGTGCATAGCAGTGGTATTCTTGACGGATGGCCGCCCATTCTTTGTTAAAAATCATCCCCAACAGATAGTCACTTGGGGAAGGCTCTCCTGAAGAGAAAGGTCTTTGCCTGCTTGCGAGAAGACAGCCAAGATGGGGCCAGCCTGGGCCTCCAGTGGGAGGGAGTTCCAGAGTCTCTAAAGGGCCACAGAGAAGGCCCTCTCCTGTGTTGTGTCCCCACCAAGTGCATCTGTGAAGGAGGTGGGATGGAGAGAAAGCGCCCCCCCCCGATGATCTCAAGACCTGAGGGGTTTCATCAAGGGAGACGTGCTTTAAAAGTTCGAACCAGCACTTTGAATTGTTCAAACTTTTTCGAACTGTGATCAGCAGCCGGGGAATGGGGGAGCTTCTGCCGTAAGGAAGTTTTTCCTAACCTTCAGCTCGAGTGTTTATGAGTTTTGAGGCTGTTCCCAGGCTTTTCTTGGGCGGCCCTTTCCTCTTGGGGGGGAAGAGCTGGATCTCCAGACCAAGCCGCCCCAGCCATCTTCTCTCCTTGTGGCTGCAGGGCGCTTGTGGCTCCTGCTGGGCCTTCTCCGTCACGGGCAACGTGGAAGGGCAGTGGTTCCTGCGCAAGGGCTCCCTCGTCTCGCTCTCCGAGCAAGGTAGGTTGGCGCCGGGCTGGGCCTGTTACTCTGGAGAAGGAGTCCCATCACTGTCCAGGGTTGGAGGGCGGTTGCACGGGAGCCTCTGTCCTCCGGCGCCTGTTAGCCAGAGGCAGAAGAAGGCCGTGGTAGGTGGAGGAGGTGCTTTTCTCTGTGCATGGGGTGTTTTGTCCAGGGGCATTGCAGAGGGCATGGGGCAGAGGTGGGGTTCGCAGCGGAAAGCCAGGCTTCTGCGGAGGGAGGAGGTTCCACACTGGGAATAGCATTGGGGCTCAGAGGTGATTTCTTGCTGCCCTCTCTCTGCCCGCTTGCTCCACAGAGCTGGTCGACTGCGATGCCCTGGATCAGGCCTGTGGGGGTGGCCTGCCTTCCAATGCTTACGAAGCCATCGAAGGGTTAGGTGAGCGACACCTTTCCATTTTGCATGAACCCATCTCTCTGGTGGGGGGGGAGGGCTCCATAGCCAGCCTGGATCTGCTTTCGAAACAGGCTTGAAAAAAAACACCACATGGCAGGAGCTTGTCCATGCGCTCCCCTCCTCTTTTATGCCTGTCCCGTTAGGGTTGTTTTTATGATCGTTTACACCTGATCCTCCTGGGTTTTTCCAAGCACAGGGTGGGCCTCTAAAAAACCACAGCCTCAACTCTGGCTGCCCTTCGGCTGTGGAATAACCGCTCCTTCCAGCCACTGGGTTTGTGCTTCTTTTCGCTGACGGTGCAGTTCTGTTTTTGGAACGGCTGACGTCAAACCGCTGAAAGGGGTAGCGCAGTTCTGTACAGCAGCCGCTGGTTTCTGTCGATTGCCGGGTGCTGCTGCTTCCGTCGCTGAAAGCGTCCTGGAACCGAGGAGAAGCTGGGCGTGTGCTTTATAAATAATTCCCAGCTCCCCCCCGTTTTTGGCACCGCTGAAGCCCAGCCTCTTCCTGACGCTCCTGCCGTGATCGTAATGCTCTCGGCTTCTGGATTTCTCCCCACCCTCTGCCCTCCCTTAGGTGGCCTGGAGACCGAGCGGGACTACAGCTACGAAGGGTTCGCGCAGAAATGCGACTTCTCGAAGGACAAGGTGGCCGTGTACATCAACAGCTCCGTGGGCATCTCCCGCGACGAGAAGGGTACGTGGGTGGGAGGAGAGAGCGGCCACCGACAAGGCGGTCCCACCTCTTTGCTTGTTGGTTTGATTTTTTTTTATATCGCCCGCCTGACCCTCCAGAGTTCTTGACTCTTAACCCCTCTGGGTGGTTTGGAGTCAATAACAGTAACAAAACAAACACAACACGGTCAGTGCCTTAAATTGAATCAACAAATTAAACTCTGTTTCCTTACTCATTTGATGTTTATAAAAATCAAAATTCTGGGCTTGCAAATATCCTTTTTCTAAACCAAAAATCAACAGCTTGATCTCGGCCTTCTGCTAGATTTCAGTGGCGGGCTTTTTCTTGCCACCATGCATAGAATCATATAGAATCATGGAGTCGGAAGGGCCTCGAAGGCCATTTAGTCCAAACAACCCCCCGCTCAAGGCAGGAATCCCAGTCAAAGGATATCTGCCAGGGGGGTTGGCTAAATTTCTCTTGAATTGTCTCCACCACTTCTTGAGGTCATGGGTTCCATCGTCATACTGCTCTAACAGTTAGGAAGTTTTTCCTGATATTCAACTGAAATCTGCCTTCCTGTTGCTTGAGCCCATTGTTTCGTGTCCTACCCTCTGGGATGGTCGAGAACAGATCCTGCCCCTCCTCTGTAGGACAGCCTTTCCTGTCTTTGAAAAGAGCTACCCTGCTTCACCTCGCAGCCTTGGCCTAACCCACCACCCTCCCTGTTTCAGAGATCGCAGCCTGGCTGGCCAAGAACGGGCCCATCTCCATCGCTCTGAACGCCTTTGCCATGCAGGTGAGACTGGCTGGAGGCTGGCCCTCTCCCCCCCCCCGCCCTGGAGGTCACTCACTCTTTCTGGGGGCAGACGATCGGGGGTTCTGGACTGCTGCTTTTGCCGTAACCCCCCGGTTATAGGACATCGGCCTCTGCCCCAGCTGGCACTTGTCTGGATGTTGTTATTCCGTGTTTCCAGTGCAGGGTTAAGAACTGGGTGCTGCTCAAAGATTGACTGTTTTGATAAGCAAGCAAGCAAGCAAGCAGGGATATATATATATAAAGCCAAGGAGGCTTATGTTATTAAAAGACGATATTGGTGAACTGCTGGATAGCTCAGTGGTTCGCCAGAGGTTGGGAATTCGAATCCTCCCCCCCCCCGGATCTCCTTCACAAGGGCTGGACCTGATGATCTTATAGGGTCGCCTCCAGCTCTGCAGTTTAAAAAATTATAAGACAAAACTAAAAACAGTTGTACAGATAATTTAAAAGAATCAGAGATGACACTGAAAGAGGGTAAACAAAAGCAACATTTTTAAAAAATCACATTCAGAGTCGTAAGGCACAGGCTATGTGTTTAAAGCACCATTCCTGTTTGCTTGGGGTGGGGGGGGCTAAATGGAGTGACCCGGGAGGGAGCAAACGACCGAGCTGAGGAGCAGATTATTTATATGAGTCTGTTTTGGAGGCTGTGACCCACTCAGAAAGTCTTTCCCTGCCCTTCCTTTCTCCCCCTCTGCCCCAGTTCTACCGGAGGGGAGTCTCCCATCCCTTCTTCCTGCTGTGCAATCCGTGGATGATAGACCATGCAGTCCTCTTGGTGGGCTACGGCACACGTAAGTGGGGTGGGGTGGGGCAGGGAGTCCCTGCGTGCAGACGGGGCCTTGGGGCAGGCATTCCCTCTGGAGGCTGCTGCTCCTTTATCCCCCGTGGCTCTGTTGTTGTTTCCCCAGGTGGCCAGACCCCTTTCTGGGCCATCAAGAACAGCTGGGGCGAAGACTGGGGAGAGAAGGTAAGCTCGGAGGGGGGGGGCTCTTCCCTTCCGAAGAACCGGGGTTCGCGAAGACTGGGGAGAGAAGGTAAGCTCGGGAGGGGGGGCTCTTCCCTTCCCAAGAACCGGGGTTCCCCACCTCGAGGGTCCCCAGATACTCTTGGACTGCAACTCCCAGAAGCCTTCGCCCCTTAGCTGTGCTGGGCCAGGAGATTTCTGGGAGTTGCAGTCTGAGAACGTCTGGGGGGACCCCCCCCCCAAGGTGGGGAACCATCAGCCCAAGAGGAACGGGGTGGATTTCCATGCCTGATAAAACGGGTGAGTTTTTAGGGCGCCGCCCCCCCCCCCAAGGTGGGGAACCATCGACCCAAGAGGAACGGGGTGGATTTCCCTGCCAGATAAAACGGGTGAGTTTTTAGGGCGCTGCAAGAGGGTGGTTTTGCTCCTCGGCGACGCTATCCTCCCCTTCTCCCTGGTCGGTTCCACTTCAGCTTTGGAACAGAAGGTAGGAAAACTGGAGGCGCCTTCTTGGGTTTGGGCCCGATTCTGTTCCTCCCATCAGCCTCTTGGCCTCTTTTCAACTTGGGGCCCCCCTTTGGTTGAGGCAGGCCTTGTCCCTGGGTAGGTGTGGTGAGATTCTGCCTGGCCAGTCAGCAGCGATACTTGCCCAGACCCCTTGCCAGGATCCGTGCGCCCGACTGACCCGCTTCCTCTCTCTCTGTTTTTCCCAGGGCTACTACTACCTGTATCGGGGCAAACGAGCCTGCGGCATGAACACCATGTGCAGCTCTGCTGTGATCGATTAGCCCCCCAGCCACCCACCCATCACCCCCCCCCCAAACCTTGCCTGCCTCTCCTTGGTCCGAATCGCTGCCTTCTGGGCTTTCTCTCCAGCACTAACACAAGGAGCTGGGCGTCTTCCCGGCACGTGATCCTGACCCAGTCAATCCAAGCATGTGTTGCTCGTAGTCTTTCCAAAGCTGGGGAAGATCTGCCCCGTGGCAACCCCACAGGCTGCCCCGACTGCTACCGTTTTAGAGTAGACTCTCAACCTTACCAAGCTCTTTCTCTCTCCCCCCCCCCTTTTCTGGGTTTTGTGGTCACCCTGAAGGAACGTTCCCCTTCCCGGTTGGAGCGGGTGCCTCTTTCAGGCCGCCTGGGAGCCTGCACGAGATGGCGACGTGAACAGCTTCTCGCCCACGTAAGGAGAGGCGAAACAGCCCAGCCCGTGCACTGACGCTCTTTAAAATGTCTTCCGAAAGGCAGGGGATCAGGCTGAGAATTGGAAGGAAGGGACATCGTTCGGGGGCCGGTCGGCCACCTTCTTTGCCTCCCTGGGTTCGCTCTTTGTCGGATTTCCCAACCCCTGGTCTCTGCCTGGTTTCGGACTCGGGAGGGGCCACAGCGACAGAGGACCTGCTTTGAGCACCGGTGGCGGGTTCAGCTTCCAGTTGAAGCCTCTCAAGACGGCCAGGAGGGAGCAGGCCTCCGGCTGGAGCCCCGCGGCCGACGAGGGTAGAAGGTAGCAAAGCACGCTAGAGGACGCCCGTGGGCCGAGTCTAAGACAAGTCATCTCTGAAGCGGTTCCTACGGCTGCAGGAAAGCTCACCTTGTATTTTCAGATGGATGTTTCGGGGGCGGGGGGTCATTTACTTGATCAGCCCCTTTTCCCTTTCCTGTAATTAAGTGTACAAGATATCTTGTTGTTTGCAGAAGGGGGTGAGCATGCCGTGACTGCATTTTTGTGCTTGCAAAAACCCTCACCCTCGAGGGGTCACCCCCTCCCATTTTCTCTTTCCATCCCTTTTTTGCACTTTCGGGGTTTATCCCCATGAGGGGTTGCGGCACTAATTCCTTTGGGACCCCCACCTCCCTGCTTCTGGGGCGTGTGTGTGTGTCTCTTGTTCCGTTAAAGCAAATCCTGTTCCGTTTCTAGAAGACTTGAACAAAAAAACAACAACAACTAAGCAACCTCAAAAAGGTACAAGGAGTCGGAAAAGCTCCTGAGACAGTATATTTTTTTTTGGGGGGGGAGAGAATGTGACGCTGATCAAGGATGGTGGTGAACACTGTGGTTGCAGTATCGACGGCCGGGTGTGGTGGACTGAGGGGCTGCCAGTTCCTCCCTTCCGAGAAGAGTGGTCTTAACCGACCAGATAGGCGGGATATAAATAAAATAAAAAAATAAATAAATAAATATGCGGTGGGAGTTAAATCCAGGCCACCTTCCTCATTAACATCAGCCCCTCTACTAACATTGGCTACGGATCACGAGGTGGGTGGGAAGAGACCACCTTTCCCGCCGCCCCCCCCTGCACCCAGAGGCGTCTCTGGCTTGTAAAGTCCCGAGACCCTCCCCACCTCAACCCTTGTCGGAACGCTGCACATCTGTTAGGTTTCTGCTACCTCTGTTTGTAGGCTCAAGCCCCCCCCCCAAAAAAAGTGCTTGGAAAATGCTGTTACTGACGCGAAATAGAGTGAAGGCAGGGGAGAAAGTGTTTAAATCTGCTGTTTGGGTTTCCTGGGGGGGGCGGTTGTTCAGAACAAGCCTCCCTCCACTTCGGCGGCTCCCTGGGTGCCTGTCGGGTGCGGAGAGGGCCCTTCCCTCTCGCCCTGAAACGGCCGGGAGCCTGGGCCGAAAGCGATTTGGGAAAAGGCCGAGAAAGCTTGCCGAGACTCCGGTCGGGCACTGAGAAGTTCGCCACCTTTGCCGTTTCTGTCTTTTCCCCACACTAATAAAAGAGGCTTGTTGTGATCTAGTTGTGTGTGTGCGTTTGTGTGTTTTGCAGGGGAAGGGAGGCTGGAGGAGAAACCAGCCTTGGTGACCAGGTGCCCACTGGGCATCTTCAACTACAGCTCCCATTATCCACGGACTTTTTTATTTTTATTTCTTCCTGCCCGTCTCCTCTCTGCTCCAGACAGCTTTGCCAAAAGGACGTTCATTTTGTACCCAAAGCAAGAAACGCCCAAGTTTTGGGTGGAGAGAGGAAGCCCCTCGCAGCCCGTTTTGTTAACCCTCGAAACTCTCCCACTGGCTCAGTGAGGGTCACGGCTGCCGAAACAGCCTCCTCTTCCTCCTCCGGAAAGGGTGCCTTCAGGTGGATGGAGGCCTGCGTCTCATCCTTGCTCCGAATCTGAATTCAGCAGATTGTGGAAAAACCCTCATTTTATCTTGGCATTTCTTCACGTACTGTACGTTGTTCCAAGTCGGGTCAAGAGCTCCCTCGGAGCGGGTTTCAGTGCCACATAAAGCAGAGAGCGTGAAGAGGCCACTGGCCACGCTCATGTATGGACCAGCATTTATTTATTACCTGTAAATACATTCATTCATTCATTCATTCATTTATACCTTAATTTTATCAAAGCAGCCCTTAAAGGATATTAAGCTGCCTTGGGTCCTTTTTAAAGAGAAAGGCAGGGCAAATATACTGTACATTTAATTTAATTTAAAGTGGTCATAATGACCAGATAGGCGGGGTACAAATAAATAAATATTAAATAAATAAAGTTAAATACAATAAAATATGAACATAGTGTAAAAGAGATTTTTCTCGGGCTTGGAGAGCCCTTGTCGACCCTCAGGGCGCTGCAGGCTCGAGAGAATTTATATTGGTGTGGAGGGGGGAACTACGAATCCCAGAATCCTCCGCGCCGAGGGGCCCGGAACGTTTCTAGGAGCCGCCTCGCGGGGCGAGGGGGAGCGGTGACGCGGGCGCGCCCGGAAGTCTGTCCCGGCGGCACCGGAAGCAGGAAGCGCCCGCTTCTCGTGCTCCAGAGCGGCGAGGAAGGCGCTGGTTTCCTCGGCAGGTGCCGTCCCCGCAAAGAGGCGGCCCGAGGCGCCGAAGCCCCTCCGGGTGAGGGCGAGGGGGGGTTAAAATAAAGGGGGGCGCCCTTCCCCCTCCTCTCC